ACAACCAAACAAAAAACAAAACAGTGAGCACTGGCCCTGCAGCCCACACGTTAGACCAGCTCACCAGCAAATCTCCAGACCCTCCCACAGCCACGCTGATTTTAATTCTCTTGTGACAAATTCCTTCATTTCTCACCATTTCAGTCATGGCGTCAACGGGCGAGGAGGAAGAGATCACTTGCCTTGCGGAAAACAAACAAAAGAAAAGTCCATTAAAGCAGACCACAAATGAAGAAGGGGAATTTAATACATTAGTGTCACATACAAAATAGGCCGTCACCGGGCAGTTTATTGTGCGACACAGAGTACGCGTATGTGGTCATAAAAATTGATCTTTGCACGGACATGCCTCGAGGGCGTCCGCTTTGAGTCTAATCCGGTACGTGTGGACCTCCGCGGATTCAGGTCCGCCCGACTATGTGGGAGCCTTTAGGGTGTAGTTGAGTGTTTAATTTAGTCAGTGTTAATGTTTGAGTCAAAACAATGAGACAATTTTTGAATTTGAGGTGGAGCTGCTGACCCAGAGGAGGATGAAACTGCAGAATCAGAACCTCTCAGGCAGAGGAGACGATCAAGAAGGAGGAAAACAGTCGTGAGTCAGACAGTAAGGACTTTGTTGATGAAGAGGGTGATCGTGATTTGTTTTAGAAGAGGAAGAGCAGACTGAGCCCCATAAGGAGGTAGGACTAGGCAATATGAACCAAAATTAATATCTCAATGATTTTAAGATAAATTGCTATTTACGATATATATATATATATATATATATATATATATATATGTATATATATAATATATATATATATATATATATATATAATATATATATATATATATAATTAGAATAGAATTCAACTTTATTGTCATTGCACATGTCACAGGTACAAAGTTGGGATGGGGCAGATCCAATCCAGTATCGGTATCGGTCTCCGTTACCAGCGTAATTTACGTATCGGATTTTCTGATCCACCTGCCGATATTTCCGATCCATGATGCATGTTGGCTTCAAACTATGGAATGGATTTCCTGAACGGCGGCGTGTCTCATGAACCCAGAGTAATAAGACCCGCCTCACATTCAGGAAATCCAGTTCATAGTTTGCAGCCAGCTATAACGTGAGGACTGAGTTAGCAGCACTGTGGCTAACAGCTAACCAACTTTCATCTAAACATGTCCGCTGTGTGGAAGTATTTTACACTAGAAACACCACAAGACGGCATTGTGCGATGTCTGCAGAGCCATGGCGCCACATTAAACCCCGGTAAAGTTAGTTTTACGATGGACATTCGAGCTCCGTGGCTTCAGCAGGGCGCTGCTCTTTGCTCAACCGAAAGAGGCGACTCAACCCCGGCCAGCTGCGTCCAATCTGCCCCGCTCAGTCCGCCCGTCTCTGAGGAGGGACAGACTGAGCGCGGCTGCCCCAAATCAGGCTGCCTGCTTCAGATTGAACAATAAGTAGACGTCGCTGAAACCATAGAGCTCAAATGTTTACTGAGAAGTTGCTAAACTTCATCATAATTAATGACCAACCACTATCAGTTGTAGAAAACGAAGGATTTCACAGCTTGATACTTGCAGTCAAGATATAGTTTACCCTCCAGGAGATATTTATCAGTACAACAGTAAACAATCATAAAAAACATATGATTTGAAAATTATATATATTAAAAATAAACAGCTACATTATAAAGTGATGTAAAATACTAGAAACAGGAACATGTCTGTTGGTTTATGCCTTGAACTTAGCAGATGTTTGAAGCCATTTAACATTTTATTTAATTCACTTATTCATTCATTTCAATGAAACAAAATAAAAAAAGTAAAAATCATCAAAAAGAAAACATTGAATGAAAAGAGTGCAGGAAGAAGAAAAAATTCTTATATCTGCCCCTTATAAAATATAAAACAACTTTAAACAATCACTTAAATTAATCACTTTAAAGCTAGGAATAAAAAGAAACATGTTTTTTGTTAGCAGAATTTAATTCTAACTTTAAAACTTATCCAACATTAATAAAACTTACCTCAAGTTGCCTTTTTGGACATGCATGCATATATTTGTAGAAATTGTACTTGAGAGGAGATTATTACAGCCTCATATAAAATCAATGATGATCATGATATCGGAATGGGATCGGGATCGGCCGATACTCAGCTCCAGGTATCGGGATCGGATCGGAATTTTAAAAAGTGGATCGGTGCATCCCTAGTACAAAGCAACGAAATGCAGATTGCATCTATCCAGAAGTGCTTAGCAAGAAAAATAAATTGGTAGATATATAGTACAATATACAGTAAGTTGCTGTGGTGTATATATATGTGTGTATTGTAAGTTAAAGTAAGCATTGGTCAGCTTTAGAGAAACGTGCTCTCTGATTTATGAAAAGAACGCTGTGTTGTGTGATTTTACTGCGAGACCCTCTGGTCAAAGCCACAGAGGAAACTGGTCACCATTTTGTGTCAGCTCTCCATTAAAGCAGAAGGAGATACCCACTAGAGTGTTGGAGGGTGAAGTGTTTCAGTGTGCACTTGCTGCTCTGTTGCTGTTCATTTCTTAAGTGAGAATACTGAAAACTGTTAAGTTAACAACATATTGTTTTGTTTGAAACATATTGCTAAAACTACATTTGCTATCTTTTGCACTGTTTTACAAGAAAGAAGCCTAATACTTTTTTTTTTTTTAACTCTTTGGACCTAGTAGTGGAATTTTCTTAATTGAGATAATTTTGTGGTATAGCAGTTTTCAAAATAAATTATGGCAAAAGGACACCCTATGCTTTTTTCATTCCTATGTCAAGTTTTATACCAAAAACATATCATGATGTTGTTATCGCCACCCTTCACAATACATATCGTGATATGAATTTTATGCCATATCGCACATCCCTACTTCTCAGCTTAGCTGCTTTTAACGATCCAAAAGCGTGATTTTGGACAAGTGAGGTTCTACTCATTTTGGACAGCTAAAATGGATTTTAAAGAGAAAAGAGAATGGGAGGGGCCAGTGAAGAGCACTGGAGTTGAGCCTTTTGTCATCCATTGTCTTCAGTAGAAAGAGATAGACACGAAGAAACGATAAAGCTGATAAATGAAAATGATGCTGATCATTTTCATTTATCATGCGATTATTTGATTTATTGTTTATCGTGGCAGGCCTAATGAAGAGCCTGCTTATTTCTCCTAAATATTGCCACATTAGTAAGGATAATGTTGTAGTGAGTTAAGCAACAGAGTTGAATATGTGGTTGTGGCCATGAAAATCTCTGCTATTGTCAAACAGCATTTTCCTGTTGGTTTCATGGTGTTTTTTGGATTAGATGATTGAAGTCTGCAGCCACGCCATCTTTACCTCTCCAACATTTTGGAGGTATTAAACCCAAGTGTTGTCATCACTGAGGGCAGAGTTCATCCACAGATTGTAGAGATGTGGGATTGCTAATGATTGCAGAATTTAATCTAGATATCTCTCTGCACTGAGATTGCGTCCAGTGATAGCAAGACTTGTTTTTATTTTTTTCCATTGAGGGAGATGTTGCCCCACACAATCATCCCACATTAACCAAAAGCTGTTACTTTATCGGTGCAGCAATCAAAATTGCAGTCTTGACAATTTCACCACACTTTGACCTTTATAAGAACTGCTTTAGGCAGTCTGGACTCATCGCTGAACATAGCGTTCCTCCACATGTTCAGGTTTCAGTGCATACTCCTGACATAAGCACAAATTGGCCTGATTGTGAAGGGCAGTCATGGCAGACCTCTTGGAAACCTTATGAGACCAGAGACTGCTTGTGTGCAGTCTTTCCAGAAGGTCTGGGTAGAGGAGTATAGACTATACCATGAAAACCTTGATCACAAATTTGTAAAAGACTGTATATGATTTGTAAGTGCTGAAAGTGTGAGGTAAGTCTTGTAATGTTTCCTGATTGAAAATCC